ATGTGGGTTATGTAAGTAGTTTAGAACTTTTTTTTTATTTTTTATTTTTAATGGTGACGGGAAGCCACTACATTGATCAACCCTTCTCCTTTTTGATCTGGGCTTGGGACTGGCACTGGCGGAGTTCTATCCAACATTAAACAGTGTTAAACAAGGTCTGGGGTTTGATATACAGAGATCTTAGCCTGCTTAATGCCATGGCACAAACGCACTAAAAATCCTTTTAACCTTTCATTAAAGTACAGAAAAGAAGGAAAAACAAAGGATTTAAAAAGTTAGATATTGAAGTATTTCATTTTACCCTTTCTTGCTCCCTTTTCCCTCTAGAGACTTTTTAGAAAGTCTTAGATAGTATCAAAGATGGTGGCAACTGTCCTTTCGGGGGCTGGGGTGAGGGAAGTTAGTTGAGATGAGCTGGAGCTGTTAAAGTCCAATTCCATTGAATCTCAGGTGATGGTTGGGATTTCAGCTGGACCTAGTAGGGTTGGTGATGTCATGTGGATCCTTCTCTGGCCCAGTCTGCTCAGGACATCTTTCATTATCAAGATGACATAGGCCTAGGGTCCCAGGAAATGGTGGAGGTTACAGCCATGATGATGAAGCTCACTCCGGTAGCTTCAGTCTCTCTCCCCCCCCAAAGTCTTTCTTTAAAGACCCACACTGTCTTATTTACCAAGCATGACCTTAACACAGTACTTGAGTCATGGGTCTTTTTGTTTAGACTAATTTAGTCTCTCTCCTTTTTCATATTTTTCCCATCAACATATGTTGCGATATCTTATGAACTTCTGCATACTTTTTACAATTGAGCTCACTATTAGAGTAAATTTCATAACAGGTCCTGCAGGGACTGATCATTGGTGCCATACTATTTACCACTTTTATTAGTGACCTGGAAGAAAGCATAAAATTATTACTGATGTTAGTTTATTGGTAACAAAGATTGGTGAAGAGGTAAATAATGAAAAGAACACGTCACTGATACCAAGCAATCTAGATTGCTCTGTAAGCTGGGCACAAGGAAACAATATGCATTATAATATGGCCAAAATATGAAGTCATACACTTGAGAACAAACAAATCAGGCTGTGCTTACAGGATTGGGGACACTATCCTGGGAAGCAGTGACCTTTTTAAAAAAAAAAAAAGACCGACCTGGGGTCAAGGTGAATAATCAGCTGAACATGAGACCCGATGCAACAGTGTGGCTGAAGGACTAAAGTGGTCTGGGGATGGATAAACCGGGAATCACGAGTAGGAGTAGAGAAATTGTATATTTAAGGCTGCGAGTTTGTCACAGATTCCATGACTTTCTGTGACCTCCATGACTTCTGCAGCGGCTGGTGCTGGGGCAGTGTGGGGCCCCCGTGCAGCTCCCCGCCAGCAGCAGAGTTTGGATATGGGAGGGGTTGGGGCACAGGGTGAGGTGAGGTGGGCTTTGGGTGCCGCTTACCTGGGGGGCTCCCCGGAAGCGGTGACATTCCCCCTTGCTCAGCTGCTAGGTGGAAGCATGGCCAGGCAGCTCTGCGCACTGTCTCCGCCCAGAGCACTGGCTTCACAGCTCCCATTGGCTGGGAACAATTTATGAAGGGTTTTGGTGGATTCTCCATCACTGGCAACTTTTTAAATCAAGATTGGATGTGTTTCTAAAACATGTGTTCTAAGAATTATTTGGGCAAGTTCTACAGTTTGTTACATGGGAAGTCAGACGAGATGATCACACTGGTCCCTTCTGGCCCTAGAATTTACAAATCTACAGTAGGCCACATATGTGCAGTTGTGTGCTACTTGTACATTTATTACTTTGAAAATCTGATCAGTTGCCATTTTGTAACCCCAACTGCTACATGAATGGAGCTGCTATTGAAGGCCTGGAACATGGTCTTAAATAACTGTTACAAGTGACCCAAACTCATCAAAGTTGAATGTTGGAAACTCAGTGTACTTTTTTAAATGAAAAATGTAAATTTGTGAAAACAAACTTTTTGTGGGAACGTACTAGTTTCAACTAAACATTTTTACCAGGAAATAATTAAATATTATTGTAGTAGGGACTTGAAGGTGCGTGTCCCAGATTCCTAGTGAATATACTAATCACGAGGCTGTTGGCCATTTGTGGTGGGTGTTTCTGGCTTTTAACTGAAAAACTTCAAAAGGTCTCCGGCTCATTCTGATGAGGAATGCAAGGATTGGTGGGTTGGGTTGGTTTGTTTCTGTTCCATGTTTAAATTTCTCTACTCATCATAGTCTGCCTTTCAATAAACCGTTTTTCATTCAATGGTGCATTGGATCTCAAAGAATTATTTTCTGCACAAATATACAGAAATGATTTGTGTGCTGTTTTACTTAAGTCAGTTTAATCTTGTTTCCTATGACTTCAGCATTAAACTGATTGAATTGGATAGGGTCATACGTTGGCTATATTGTTTAGCAGATTTTCTGTTTATTAAAGTTAGAATGCAAAATAATCAGTTAGTGCACTTGTAAAGTAAGACAGTAAAATAAAATGCATACATGCTTCACCAAATGCATTTTTTAGAAGTATATCTTGTCTAATTTTGTGCAGATATTTATAGCAAGCACTAGTTAACGCTGTCATTAAGGTTATCCATGTCTGTCTGATATGACCTTTTCAGTCAATTCAAACTCTGCTGTTGGTCTGAAAACTGTCAAGTCTTGTAGCTGAGTGTCAACTCTCACTAAACATTGCAGCAAAAACAGCTCAGCCTCTAGTGAGAGTGGAAAGAACACTTTTATAGGAAAATAATGTAAATCTTCTTAATAGTTCTAATCAGAATTTGCTGGAAGGGGTAAATACGTATCCATTAAATTGTCTTCTGAGGTATTGTGGGAAAACCAGTTTTGATATGATGAATGAATATTTGAAAAGCATCCTTTGTGCATGGACATAAATGTTACTACTGTAAACAGTAAAAGGGCTATTCATCAACAATTGACCAACCTTACTCAGGAAGGCAGAGGGGACTAGCATGCATGATTAACTGACTGTGCAGTGACCACTTCTTTGGTTTCCAAAGTGTGGACCCCTTTGGTTTCTAGTCAAATTGCTACAAAAGAAATCCATAACTAGATCTAAAATTAAGATTGCATGCACAGGTAAGTATTCAAATCAGGAAATAACTTTGTTCTTTTGCTGTATTATCTTAAATTACATGATCGCATGCTATATTTTGAATAGAAACTGTTTTTATAGCTTGTCAAATTATGCGGGGAGGGGTAGCCCTTGCCTAATTCACTGTAGCTATTTTATGCGAGGTCTCTTATAGACTGCTACTCATACTACACGATAGTAGATGCTAAGAATTTACGTCAGCATGGTCATGTAAGTCTGTAATCTAGATTACAGTGTAGTCACAGCACAGGGCTGTAGTACAATTTACACACTGAGAAAACTTAGGTTTATGTATGCAACGTTAATTTAATCATTTGACTCAAGTGACTGTGACAGGTATGTAACCTTAACATTCTTGACACAGCTTTTTTAATGGATTATATAAGCACCGCAGCGATCTCATTTAACATTAATACTTTTTATGCTCTCAATGGCTGTGCAATACTTGATGCACATCAGGACTGCCCCCAACTCATGTCTGTCAAAAAGGAGGGTCTGTTCAACACTTTTTCTGTTAGTACAAAACACAGCAATGTAGCTGGCCAAGTTTGTTTATATGTAAATACTTTGATTGTCCGTGGGGGGGAAGGTATATAGTTGCAACTCATGCTAACTCAGGTGACCTTCAGTATCCTATAGAAACTTGCACTTGCATACAGCAATTCTTAAAAGCGTTATGAATAGGGCCCTACTAGTAGGGCCTTATGAATAGAGCCTCTTCTCAGTGCCACTCTGTTCATTGCTTTGCTCCTCTGTGCTTATGGTGACTATAAAAAGGTGAGAAAGGAAGGTCACAAGGACTTCTATATACTAGTCTCCTCCCTTTTCCTCAGAGCAGGCATTTTACACTGATTAGGTTGGGAGACACTTACAGCTCATTGCAGTACTGGTTGACAAGTTTTGACCTGAACAGTGATTGATATGAAATGTGCTCTCACTACGTGAGAGTGAAACAGGGAGGTATAAAATACTTTGTGGGCACAGACGTATATCTCAAACACGCAATTACAAAAAGCCAGAATATTTTCTTGATATGGGAAAAACAGGATGCGTAGAGCATTGTAAAGAGTTTGGGACATCCTATAAAAAAACTAGGATGAAGGTCTCACTTAAGAGTGAGACTCATGGTGGTTCAGAAATCTCCAGCTACTTGCTGAGAAATACTAACCGTTGATGACTCTACCAAAATATTCATCAGCTGTATGAATTTTCAGCAGAGGAGGCACACAGCTGATCATTTTAAATGCAGAATAATAAAAATGAAGGATGTGTATAGGCAACGTTTTCACTGATTCCTGATTTCAGAGTAGCAGCCGTGTTAGTCTGTATTCGCAAAAAGAAAAAGGAGGACTTGTGGCACCTTAGAGACCAACAAATTTATTTGAGCGTAAGCTTTCGTGAGCTACAGCTCACTGCATCCGATGCTTACGCTCAAATAAATTTGTAAGTCTCTAAGATGCCACAAGTACTCCTTTTTCTTTTTACTGATTCCTGAGTTACTCAGTTTTGTTTTCTGGCTTCCAGTTACCACACAGCTGCTTTTCAGTTTCAGAAAATATTGACACATTGTGGACAGCTACTTGACACTTTGTCTCCCCCGTTAAATGCAGGAGTGGTACTGGAGTTGTGTGGGGGGTGGAAATGAAGGTTATAATCCAGATTTACTTGTTTAAGAAGTTACCTTTTTGTTAGCAGATACTCTGGAATGTTTATCTGGTAGGGCTGTTGAACATTTTAATTTGATTACTTTTTAAGGCAAAAGGATTTCCATTTGTAAAAACTACAGATTTTTTGACAGCTAAGCAGCCTATGAAATGTCCAGTATTGTATTCTGGTTCAGCTAACTTTCATGTCTTTTTAATTTTAGAATACATAAGGGGCTCAAGTTGTAGAACATTTGTGGATATACTTGAAGAGCACGTAAGCAAGAGGAACTGCATCTTGAGTGTCTTATAACAAAATTGAACTGTTCTGGGGTCAAGCTTTGCATTCTCCAACACTCAGAAGAACCTGCGATTTCTAGAATTTTAAGTGAAAATAAGATGACAAAAGTTTAAAATTAAAACTCAGAATGAACGTTGAAAAATCAGAGAATAAGGCAAAGAATGGCTTGCAGTCTCCCTTATTTATCAGCAATGAAAATGGAAATAAGTTTACATGTAACAAAACTACATTACCCTCAAGTAATCATACCACCAATATAAATGGAAATTCAGGTAGTCGATGTAATAAAATGGCTGAGCATGAAGATAACCTGGATTTTAAGGGTATAAATGATTTCACAACTATTTCTTTAAACCAGGAATGTATTGGAGTACTTGATCTACAAAAGACTGAGGATGAATTTATCTGTAGGAGGGCTTCATTGCGTGATACTGATGCCACATTTGTGTCTTCTGCAACTGAACAGGCTTGTATTTATGTCTTGAACCATAACTTAAAGGAACCAACCAGCCTCCTAAAAGAGAACCTTGCCCTAAAAGGAGTGCAGAATCAAAGTACTGAGCAACCAGTGCCTTATAGACAGATTGACTGTAACTGTGCAATGCGTGTTACCCCTTTGGAATGGAGCAAAAACTCTGAAATCGAAAATGAAGTAGGTTGTGCTCCTGTGGCATTAGATGTCTCTAGAGTCAATGAATCTCTTGGTATGTTTAAAAACCAGGAGGAAACTATGGGAAGTGAAAACCAAGATGCATTTCTCCCTCTGACATTCATCTCTTCTGATGAAATGTGTATGAGAAAAAGTTTTGATACAAGTAGCCCTGAAAAACCTCCTAGTTCGTCTGTGCTGGAAGCTTCAGGGGGCCCAAAAGCATCAAATTGTTCAGATTGGGTAGTACCACCTCTTCCTTCTCCAGATGTTGGAGGGGTTAGTGAACAACCTTTAAAAGGCACCAATTATGTCAATGTAGCACAAAATAGAGTGTCTCAAGAAATGGAAATTCAGTCCTTAAAACTAGTTGGTGAATGGGTAGATTGTCACTCTAAGAATTCAGTGTCACCAGAGCATTTTAATATGGACAAAGATTCAAAAAAGTATTTGCATAGCACACCTGAACATGCTGAAACTGACACATCTCCAAACAGAATGGTAACTAATTACTCTGTAAATGATTTATGTGCTCTGCCAATACAGAGTTTTGATCTAGGTACAGACCAAGAACAGGTGATAGATAAAGTGAGTGAGCATTCAACCAAAGAACAAAATGTCTGTGCTAAAAACACTGCTTTCCAAGATGCACATGGGTATTTTGCAGTGTATGAATCAATAGAAAGTACTATACCAAAGCCAGAAGGGGCTGCTACAGCTGGGCTGAAATGTGAGGCAACTTTTGTGGTCTTCAGTCCAACAGCTGGTGAAACCAGTCCTGATTCATGTATTTCTACATCTATGACAGGATCGAAAAAACCAGAATTTTCTGTTTCAGCTTTGGCAGAAGCTGGAGATGGGCCTTTTAAATTGGGAAAGAATGATGCATTAATGAGAGGATGCAATAGAAAGATTTCACTTAAAACCAGTTCTGAACAAATTGCAATGAAACCAAAAAACCGGTCTCCTATTGTTTCTACTATAACCAAAGCTAGAAAAGCTGAGATTGTTAGCTTTCCAAAACCAAACTTTAAAAATGTGAAGCCAAAAGTTATATCCAGAGCTGTGTTACAGTCAAAAGATAATGCTTCATTAAAAATATCCCCGAGATCCCCTCAACTCTCTACTGCCTCATCACCTTCACCAGTTTCTTCCCCAAGGCAATTGCCCTCTTCCATCAAAGCATCGAGGGAAAAACGTGATTTAGACAGAGATACTAAAGCAGAAATACCAATGACTAAGCCTCATAAGCAACCTCTTAATAAACAGCTGTTTCCTAGCCAAGTTATACATGCTACAACTCATTCAAAGAACGCTTCTCACAAAATTCCAAAAACACTTTCAGTAAAGCAGACTCCAGAAGACATTAACAAAGCAAGCTCCTCCAATTCAACATCCTCCTCGGTTTCTGCTGCAGTTGTAACATGTGTACAGAACTCAAAAGGGAAATTGAATGACAAAATGAAAAGCACAATGTCCTTGGCACAGCCTTGTGTCACAAGCACCTACTGGAGTGGAGCTGAAAATGGGCAAAATTGCAGTTTGGGAACTCTTTTGGAAATGGAAGAGCTAATAAAAGATCCAGCAAATGAAACATTTGAAGTTGTCCCTGTTCCCTTGGTAAGTTTATGCATTTACTGTTCAAATTAACTGATTTGCATGTGTTAAATCTGGAAATGTACATTGTACAGCCATGAATGGAAATTGAGATGTATATTAAAAAAAAAAAATCTGTAAATCTCAATACAACCTTGACTATGGAGTTAATTCTCCCTCCATAATACTGAGGGAGAGGGAAAATCTTGAAAGGAATCCTGCCATCTCAGTTATTTGCTAACCACTTAAACCACGCATCCACATAACTTTTTTTTTTTTTGGTGGCAAATTTTATTATTTAGAAGTAAGAGAGTCACTAGTTACACTAGCTCAGCTAAACAAATATCAAGTCTAAAATGTATCTGTCATGACTTCATTATCTCATTGATAGTGTGTGTGTGTGTGTGTCTTCCTTTGTAATATTTGCCAGCAGGCACCCCTTTGAATAGGTCAGGAGAGGTATAATCTAAGCAACTGACGGGAGCCAGGAACTCTGGTCTAGGGTGAAATCCTGGCCTCATGGAAGTCAATGACAAAATTCCGATTGACTTCAATAATGCCAGGATTTTACCTACTGTCCCTTTAGGTTCTTATACTGTACCCATGGCCACGTTATGGTTCAATTCCTTTGGTCTTTATTGCCTTGAGTAAGACAGTTAAACTGAGACAGAGTTTATCACCTGTAAAATGTGCTGGCAGTTTAGTACATTGGACACTTGGATGAATTCAAGGCTAAAATAATATTCTGTTATGAGTAAGAATTCTAGCTGTTTAACCAATTTGAAAGTTTGATTTCTCATGGTTTCTGAGGGAGGTATACATCACACTGTCAAGATTTTAAGATTTGAAAGTCCTTGGACTAAATTCCCTCTGCTTAGATGGAATAATTGGAATATTGCACTGGAGTTTCTTTAATCAAGTTCTCATGGGGGAAAGTGATCTCGTCTTTAGTACAAATTTCTGGAAATGCATCTGAACTGTGGCTCAAGTCAAAGTGGGTTTGGTTCCCCTCTTAGTATGATCAGATCAGTGTGGACAAAAGTCCACAAAATGCGCAGGAGCATGACTAGGTGCTTACATTTTGATACCTATTCCTATACTATATGAGCTTCTGAGCTTGTGCCTGTTAAAAATGAGAGAGTTCTGTAGTGAAACTAGTGCAGTAACAAATATGGCATTCAGTTTGAGCCAGTGGCTACCTCTTTGATGTGCCCTGCATCCACTCCTCAAGTTACCTTAAGTATAGTCTCCTCTGGGTGTGACCGATCTACGTAAACAATTCTTTTAACACATTTGGTAAGTATCCTTATTGAGATTCTGATTGCTGGTAACTTTCCTTAAATGACCAAACTGGCAATATTTTATGTTAATGTATCTATGAAGACTTGTAGGATGCCACTAACTGCATTTCCTTCAGTTCTTTAGCCCACATGTGAACTACTACTTTACCATGAATTTATTTTGAAATAAACTACTTGATTCTTACCTGTACCCAAACAAACCAGGCATTCAGAATTAGGTTTAAATTAAACCTAAGTTGCAACACTTTTTCTTTTGGCACAGACTTTAATATAGGTATCCGTGACCAATTTGAAATTTTTAGTGTCCCCTCATATCCCAACCATTATGTGACCTCTAAAAATGAATTATGTACATGCACATGCAGTGGATAACATTCATCTGTGTGTGTTCCTTTCCTGGACCAAATGATAACAAGCACCTACTTGAAATCACTTGCCTTTGTGACTAGTTTTCTTTCTGGTAATTGATGCTAAACGCCCCCCACCTACTTTATAAGCTAGCAGTGAAACAACTTGTTCTTACAATAATGTTGTGTTTTACAGGTTTCTTCAGCTAAAACTGGGGCAGCACAAGGAAAAAATATACACAAGGAAGGCCCTATCAGTCTTAGAAGTATACCTGCCCCCAAGGTGAAAGTGGTGCCTTCTGTGTTTCGCTCTAGGCGAGGAAGCGAAAATAAAAATGTGTGCGCAACTAAAATGTCATCTCCTCAAAGAGCTGTTTTGCCATCAAGTTCTGGTAAGAGAATTTCTATTGGGCTAACCGAGTCCTTAAAAACAAGGCATTAAACTTTACCATTATTCCAATAGGTTAGTTTTATAACGTTAGTGACTAAGATATGTGACAGATCTGAACCCAGTCAGGAGTGCTGGAAACTACACAAAGGTTAAAGCAAGAACAGTAACGGTCCAAGCATCTCAATGTGTATCAACACTCTGGAAGCTTCTCTTTTATTTAGTTTAGTCTGGGTTTCCTCTTATGAAAATGTCGTCAGAAATGTTACTTGTGGTGGCTTTTGCCAGTGCAGATACTGGTGCATTAAAGCTGAGGAAATTGCTCTGTTTTCATGGACTACAGGAAAAAATGTGGGAGGGCAGTCACTTGAGGTTGCTGTTGACCTGATTTAGACCTGATCAGGTGGTCTAGAGGAGTCTCTGGCCCTAAATAACTTCTTCCCTATCCTCTTTCCTCTAAATAGGAGGCAGAGGTTATATGACAGCCCGTGTCTACTAGATTTCTATCTTCAGTGTCCATAAATCTAATGTAGAAACAAGAGGCTACTTGGATGAGTCTGAATTGTACAGTATTTGCATCTTTCACTTGGATGTATGATGATATAATTAAATTTGCAAAAACCAGTTTGTAGGTTCATTAGTCCCTAACAGGGCTTTACGAGAATGAGGAACTGGATTACAAACTACATCTACAACTAGCTCTCACCAGCTTCAAAGCACAGTTTTCATGACACTGGAGGGGCACCATTTTTAGGGTTAAACCTGATTTCTATCCCAACTATAAATCTCTGATTTAGCCATATTCCAATTCAATGTCTTCAAATCTCATCCAGTAAAGAATGCCCGAAGGAGGGTGTGGCAATATTGGGAGGAAAAGATATTAAGATTAAATATGTATAGGTTTGCTAAGTGAAAATAGAACTGAAATCATTGGAAAGTTGTGAAAGCCAGAGAGAACGACTTACGATACCACACATACAAAACTTTGTGATACCGTTCAACAACTCCCCATGTTCATCTCAAGGGATTTCATAGGAGCCCCATTGCTTAGACTGAACAAAACACAAACTTGTACAATCCTCCATTTGCAAGGAAAGGGACTGAGTGAATTGATGAAATGAGGGGCTCGAATTCGTTGGCCTACTGGCCATTCAGCCTCAAACTGATTCTTCAGGGCTTCCTTCTGTTAGTCTTCCAGTTGACTAGTCAGACTTGGTAGTTGTAGACAACTAGTTCAGTTGTACAGTAAAAGCCCAGAAGGTTCTAGTAAGTGACATAGTTGATCTTACTTGTTGCAATAACGTAACTAATTACAAAGGTAGTTGGAACATAAAGGACTGAACTAGTAATATACTATAATTTGAAAAACATACTCCCAACCCAGAAAAACTTGCTCTGCATTTTGCTTGACTTTCTCCCACCCAATTTATGATTTTAAAAAAGCACAAAATGCTCTCCTTAATTATACATGTGGTGAAGCATGTTAAAATCTTTCTCCACAGCCCTTTTGAAGAAGAAAACCGGTCGAATCAAGTGAATAGAGCTTATTTCTGACTTCCCTTGCCCAGTATTATGGCAAATATTTTTTTCGGCCTTTCATAGTTTCCCAAGGAGAACAGTAAGATTCTTTGATCAGCTGCAGCATCCTCTAATGGTATAATAGAAAAATTAATATGAAATCTAACATCTATTCAAATAGCTTTCCCGATACAACAGGGAATATTTTTAAAAAACAGCTTTATTAGAAATGTATTTCAAGAAAGCTTCAAGTGACAATTGAAATATTGACCCAGTCATACATTCATAATCAAAAATACTTCCTTTTTAACTAATTTATCACTTCTCTTTATCTATGAATGAGTAATTTAGAAAAGTTCCAATAGTTAAAACTAGAACAGAAACTAGGCTGTAACAGTACAAGGCAGTCTTAGAACACTGAATGTATGCCATTTATTGTACAAAGAATGGCTTGTCTAATAGAATTGAAACCAACTGAGTTTCCATTGTCCCTACAAACAACTGGTAAAGGTGACAGATAACCAGTCTTTCCTATAAAGTTTACATATACTTCCCGTTTTAACCATGGAGGTCAATCTTATTTCAAGGAACCATACAGTAAAGAGCTGGAATGACGAGAGCCAGGAAAACCATTTGCAGCAAACAATGTTTAGTTTACCTCTTGTGTTCAATGTCTGAACAGAGCTATGTCTACAGATTACCTCTTAAGTTTTTTGGTTTTTTTTAAAGTTCTGCCTCATTATTTAGTACTATGCAAGGCTTTACTAAGTACTAAAAAAGCTAACATACTTCCCAGGTCCTTTGATCTGAAAGCATGTTTTCAGGCTGTTTTCAGAAGCCTAGCAGACAGGGTTCACATATATGCAAACCACCCCCCCGCCCCCGGCCTCCCAAATGCTTGCACATGCTCTCTGCTACAAATCTGATGTGGACAATCCAGAAGGATCAATGCCAGATTATGCATTGCAATGGGCAGATCCTGTAACTCTCACTTGCTTCTTTTTGAGAGGCAGAACCTCCTTCTTTAAAGATCCATCTTCATCCCAGACCAGTGGTGCTCTGTTTTATGGACGGGCTTATGGAAGGAGTTTCATCAACTGTTTTCAGTAGAGTCCTCTGTACTCTACCAAATTCCCATAGTCACCAACATACCTTACTGTAGGACTTGGTTTCAGAGTAGCAGCCGTGTTAGTCTGTATCCGCAAAAAGAAAAGGAGTACTTGTGGCACCTTAGAGACTAACAAATTTATTTGAGCATAAGCTTTCGTGAGCTACAGCTCACTTCATCGGATGCATGCTTGGGTTGTTCCTGTGGATTGGTGTAGAACTTGCCAGGCACTCAAAGGCTATGCTTTCTGATCTAGTTCCTCCTGGATATCATTAATAGTGTTTTCAGCTAGTTCCTGTTTGGGACAGGCATTAACTCTTGAAGTCCACTAGTGTTGCCAAGTGTAGGGGGGCTCATCCCACTTAGGCTATAGACTTTAACAACCTAGCCAATCTCAGACTTTGCTCGGTGGGTAGCAAGCTCTGTACGCAGACTTTGCACTCTTTTTCTCTTTGGTGCCCTCCAGTATGCTTTCCTTGTGTGTGATGTTACTTGAAGCAGTCACTTTGTTCTGGGTCGTGGGGTAACTCATGGCTCCTTCCTCTGCTATATCTTTTTACAGTTCTCCATACCTGTTATAGTTTTCACATCAGCATGACTACCTCTTTCCATATTTAATGAAGTTATTTCTTTCCCTAAATTCTGCCCTAAAGCAAGGCACAGAATATCGTCCTCAGTATTTGGAGGGTTCTTTACCTAAATGCGTATGAAGTGTTCAGGTGACAATTTTTGTCCTTTTGAGTGCCCTTGCAAGGGACTTAAAGCCTCCTGGTCATTCACTCCTCCTGGAGCTTTATTTCTTGTCAATACATTGGTAAGTCATCTTTACCAGTCCAGACGAACCTGTTCCGTCAGACTAATGATCATTTCCTGGTCAGCCCTTGTGACAGGGTCGGGCTAGATGGCTATAGGAGAGTAATAGAAGGCAGATATATTAGCCCCCGGCTAAGTAGGTCCCTTTTCCCTGGGTAAGGTAACAGGGATGGTTCCAGAACAATCAGGAACCTTCTGGAGACTATTAAGACAGGCTGATTAGAACACCTGCAGCCAATCACGAAGCTGCTAGACTCAATTAAGGCAGGCTAATCAGAACACCTCGGTTTTAAAAAGGAGCTCTGTTCAGTTTGTGGTGTGCGTGTGAGGAGCTGGGAGCAAGAGGCACTCGGAGCTGAGAGTGAGAACGCGGACTGTTGGAGGACTGAGGTGTACAAGCATTATCAGACACCAGGAGGAAGGTCCTATGGTGAGGATAAAGAAGGTGTTGGGAGGAGGCCATGGGGAAGTAGCCCAGGGAGTTGACAGAAAGCAACTCTAGACAGCTGCATTCCACAGGGCCTTGGGCTGGAACCCGGAGTAGAGGGCAGGCCTGGGTTCCCCCCAAATCCTTCCAACTCCTGGTCAGACACAGGAGGAGTCGACCTGGACTGTGGGTTCATGAAAACGGCCAAACTGAGGGCTGCAGTGAAGCTCCAAGGCGAGCAAATCAGCCAATAAGTGCAAGACCCACCAAGGCAGAGGAGGAACTTTGTCACGCTCTCCATAGAAATGCTTTGCTGGGCAGCTCACTGGAGCTCAGTTAGTGCTCAAACAATGTACTGCCCTGAGCCTCTGCATCAGCCAATGCATAATTTGGACACAATGGTCAGGAAATCAGACTTTAAGGCTAGAAAGAAACATTCTGATCTTTCAGTCTGACCTCAGCATAATGTAGGTGATTGAGTGCAACCATTCATTAGTATTAAGCCTGCAACTGGAGGGAGAAATCTCACTGGCTGTGTATATTACAGTGACAAACTAGAGGACTTTTCATTGTGTATCCAAACCAGACTCTGCTGTCATGTGTTAATGGATAACTACTACTGTTATCCAGAGTCCATGTAAGATCTGCAGATGGTAGGTTCAGTTAGAATAGACAGTGAACTGTCAACAGGGGAAACACAGGTAAAAGTTAATGGATGGTAAAATTGCTTTCTTTGTCATGTGTCTCAAATTGTCTTAAAGCTAAAGTAGGTCACTCCATGAAGCTGTGCCTGGTATTAATTTGGTAGATTAGACTTCCTTTCTTCTTGCCAAGTACTGTGGAGGCCTGGTTTTAATGCAGGGGGATTGGGATAAACCTGATCCATAACCTTAGCAACAGAACCTAGAATAAAGGAATAAATACACCTAGACATCCAGCTTCCTAAGGGAAACATTCTTCGACCTATGCAGTTTCATTTTTGGCATTCACATACAAACTGTGCACTATGGGGTTCAACATATCTAGTCCCTTTAGTTTCAAGGCACACTCTCTTGTTTTTAATGTATTGCACCTGAAGCAGGATGCATGTTGTAACAATGCTTGCAGAGACTGGCTTTAACAGTCCAAAGATAAGTAT